GTTTATTGATTCTTTTAAAAATAATAAAAGAGAAATAGTTATGCAATAACTAAATTTGACAAACAATACGTTTTTCTAGAATCATTTATCTTTTGATACATTCAAAATATTCATTACAAATAATGTTGATTCTATAGTGCATGTATTACTTGTAAAGACTCAAGTATATGATTATCATGAATATTTTGTTTTGTTATTTTTCAATTTATTCTATATTATTAATTATTCAATTCTTCTACTTCATTAACATTGAATAAATAATTTTATTAAGATATTAATTTTGATATTAGCAAATTTTCTTCTTCTAAATGGATTAATATAATCAAATCTATTTCTAATAAAATTTTAATTTATTTTTATTTTGTATATTGATTTTCAATAACATTTATACAAATAAAATGTTTACTTTAAGAGAAGAAAAAAATACAAACTATTTTAATTTAGGATTAAATAATAGAGAAAAATTTTTTAATTAAATAAATAATTAACGAAATTGATCTTGAATAAAACTCATTTTTTTTTGCTATAGATCTTTGTTTAACTATGTAAGAAATGAAAAATATTCTAACTTTTTCAATTAAAACTATATACCTCTTAATTTTCAAATACACTGAAAATCTTTTCTTAATTTTTTGTTTTACTCATAAATGAAGTAATTTGATTTTTCTTACTCGGTTGTTTTTTCATTGGTGTATTAAAAATAAGCAGTTACTTATCGATACATAGGTGTATTAAGCAAAATAATGTCAATAGAAAAAAGTATAGACTGTTTCAGCCACGTGTTGTTCTTCTTGTTTCATTGCATTGAGAATTAATTTTTTCTACTAGAGTCTCCTTGCATAGAATAGAAATATGAAAAATGAATATTTTCTCTTAGGATTTATAAAAATAAAAAAGAAAATTGAATTCATTGATATTGATCAATTGTTGAATATATGAAATTTTAATTGGATGATTTAATATTCTAAAGTAAATAAATAATAATAGTATAAACTTAATTTAATTTGTTAATATCCAAGAAAATTGTTGGAAATAAACAGATGAATATTTCTGACATATCAACAAAAATCGAAGGTAAAACTTTTCATCTATGTAAAAATTGAAAAAAGGATGTGAAATAGGCCTTTACACAATAATGTCGTCACAAAGTAAACGAACAGCGTATTTCGGAAGATTATTTTTTTTCCTTTCTTGCACATTGAGTCACTCAATAATGACACATAGGTTACAATACTAAGGTACTTTTCCTACGCATATGAATAGAAGATCATTAGTCAAGCTGGGAATATGTGATATTTTCCCGAGACAAACCTTAATTATTATAATATAAAAATAATATTTATCGTCATTTTACTATGACTTAGTTAAATCGTATAGACATGACTACTACTGACATTATTCAAATCGAAGATATCACCAAACAATCTTCTGTGGATAGAAGCTGTTCTTCTGTAAGTAACATTGAAAAAGAAAAGAAAAGTATCATTTCAAAAATCGATATTCCAAAACAAGAAATTCTTATTGAAAAAAAGAAATATTCTTTAAATGAATCAAAAACAATACAAGAAAGTCGAATTCATAGTCTTTCTCATTGGCCACATTTTACACCAAGTAATGAATCAATGGCATCTGCTGGTTGGTTTTCATGTAATGTTAATGATCGAGTTATTTGTATATATTGTAATACAATTTGTCATGAATGGACAATCAATGATGATCCAGCTGAAGTTCATAAAAGACTTGCACCACTATGTCCATTTGTTCGTTCAATGTCTTCAATAGTAGAAAATTCACCAAAAATAAGTAATAATATATTTGATGAAAAATTTCAACCATTTCATTCAAAAATGGTTGAAATATCTCGTCGAGAAGCAACATTTTCTAATGTTAATTGGACAGAAAATTCACCAAGTATTGAAAGTTTAGTTCGTGCAGGATTCTTTTTTGCTGGTATTGGTAATTTAGTAACATGTTTTTATTGTAATGGTTCATTACATAAATGGAGTTCAAATGATAATCCTATTATTGAACATGCTCGATGGTTTCCTCATTGTATTTATGCTAAACATTTGTGTGGAAATCAATTATATGAAAAAATTCAAACATCAAAAAAAAAACTTATGTTAATAAAAAATAATAAAATTGATCCAGATCAACTTACACGTTTAGTTAAAGCAAGACTTGATTTACCTATTGTTGAACATCTTCGTTTACAATATTCATTAGTAATAATTAAACGTTGTATTGAAGATCAATTTAAAATTAAAAATGATGATTTTAAAACTGATATTGATTTAACAATGGCTTGTTTAATTCTTCAAAAACAAATTGATATTATTAAAGGTTCTATAGATAATTTAATAATTCCATCAAAATCTCAACAATTAGATAATTCATCTCAATTATTAAAACAATCATTAGGAGAATGTTACATATGTCTTACCGAAGAAAAACAATTAGCATGTATGCCTTGTGGACATTTATGTGCTTGTGTTCCTTGTGGATATGCACTTCGTTCATGTCCAATTTGTAGACAAAATATTCAATGTTTTATAAGAATTACTTCGTAAATTTTCTCGTAAAATTTTAGTCACTTTTTTGTTGAATAATTTTGTGATGTTTGTATATAAATATTTTAAATATTCAATCGTAACGGTTGTTTTATAGAACATTTATGGCATAGATCAAGCTCTCTTTTTCTGTTTTAAATATAGTTTTTTATTTTTTTATTTTATTGATAAAACAAATTAAACTCTAATTTTTAAATTTAAATAATAAGAAAACAATTCATTTAAATTTTTATTTATACTGAAATCATAATTATTAGGTTATATAAGTTATGATACATAAAATTAATCATTGTGTTTATTTTTTTTTCTGAAGTTCGATTCATTATACTTCAACATGAGTGAATGAATTTATTAAATTATTTTTAAAATCTTTAAATAAGATAAGTTTCTAGAAATATATTTATCTATATTGAAATATTAAATAACAATCCAATAATTCAAAATGTTTTTTTGTCGACAACTATAATACTATTCTCTTTGTATAAAAAATAACTGATAAAACATTCTAAAATGTTATTTAACCCTTTCCAGCCGGCTACTAGAAGACAAGTAACAAAAAAGTCTTTTTATGGATTTTCGTTGTTTCTAGACCAAGGAGATAGGAAAAGTTTATTTTTCAGAACCAATAAGTGCTTCGGCATCTAATGGCTTCATATATCCATTTGGATACATCCGGCCACTAAGGGACAAAAATTTTGAAAAAGTCATTTCTTTTTGTCCGGCAAAATTTGATATTTTATGATTTTTCTTACATCTATATTTGTAGATGAAATCACACGTTGCCTGTTTGTCGATGTTTTGCAGTCCAAAGCTTAAATATTTCTAGAATGTTCTAAGATTCTGCAGTATAGTGCAGTAGTAGCTCAATTTTTTTCGAAAATTTCTATAGATTCAGGAATATTGTAGAGAGTTGCTGAATATTTCGCGATGGCCTAGTTTGTAACACTAGAAAATGTTCAGAAACTCTTTAGAATGTTTCTGAATTTCTAAAAATTTTTGAAAAAACTTGAGCTACTATTGCACTATACTGCAGAATCTTAGAACATTCTAGAAATTTTTAAGCTTTGGACTGCAAAACATCGATAAACAGGCAACGTGTGATTTCATCTACAAATATAGATGTAAGAAAAATCATAAAATATCAAATTTTGCCGGACAAAAAGAAATGACGTTTTCAAAATGTTTGTCCCTTAGTGGCCGGATGTATCCAAATGGATACATTCCCATTTTTTATTATTCGAATTTTTTAAATAATCCGTCTTAGTGATTCAATAGACAGTAGGTGTATGAAGGAAAATTAACAACTGCTTGCTTCGAAGTTTGATTATTTAGAGACACGAGAAAAGGATTATTTCTATACGGACGCTATTTTGGAGCATTTTGGATAGAGCCGGCCATTTTCTTAGTGAGTGTTATTTCCTTCTTCTAAACACGTGAATGTGTGTTGAAATGTGTTAACTTATTTATCAAATCGTCAAAACATTTCATATCATCACTACAAGTTACTTCTTCGTAAAATATTGGCTTCATGCATCCAAATGGATACATCCGGCTGTAAAGGGTTAATAGAATTTTACTCGAAATTCTTCAAATTTCAACATGAATAAAAGTTTTTGTTTTAGATTACAGAATTAATTATGTAAAATTGAATAGGACTAATTTTGAAATTGTGTTTTATTTTTCTAAAAATTTTTTTTTCTTATCGACAATACCTAGAAATATACTTTATATTGAAAAAATTTGAATACAAAAACAAACTAAAATTAAAAAAAAAAATTAATTTTTTTCTCGCTTTTTTGTTCTGCTGATTAGATATAGTGGATATAAGTACGTTTCGAATTAGTCCAAACATTCTGGCAGAATATTCCTAAATAAGGCGACTAGTCTTGACAAGTATGCAAGACGTCTGAGAATACATCTGATGGGTAGTGCAGACATTTTAGACTAATGATGTTAGGCGTCTTTACTTAATTTTTCTTTACTTGGACTGTTTTTACTGTATTCCTTATTAAATCAATGATCATTTTATTCTTTGAATTCTTATAATCGTAAATCATTGATTGATAGATAACTAGCAAGCACTATATCTCGATTATTTATTTCGAATTTTAAAATTGAATAAAAAATGAATTATTTTTCTTTTCTCTACAAGTTTCAAGAGTAAATGTTCAATTGTTTTTATCAAAAATCAATATTAAAAAAAAAACATGTAAAGTAAATAACATACGATGCAAAAGTAATGATACAAAATGTCGGTCTTTATAATTTTTCATAGACACGATTCTGGACAGCAGTGGGTAGATTTCCAAAAAAAGGAAATTTCTCTGCTAAATATTCATATTTCTGGAACTGCAACCATACAAAAATGCAAATTTCAGAAAATATGAGAAACAACCGTAACTACTCCCATCCTATTCAAAAACAAATATAAACACAAATAAAGAAATTTCCTGAAAATTTCGGAAATTACCTTCAAAACAGAAAACAAATTTTTCGGAAATTACTCATACCAGAGAAGGAAATTAGTAGATCATTTCTGTAAATGCCAAATCCACAAAAGGACATTTATTAGTAATTACGAAAAATACAAGCACATGCGAACGAAATTACCAAGAAATTTCTATAATTCCCAAATTATGTCCATACGATATAATAAGATAGATGTAGATTTAAGGGGCCCTATGCCCAAAAAAAAGAAGAATTTTTGGTAATTTCGGTAATTACTAAGAATTTTTAGTAATTACAGAAGTTTCATAGAAATTTCTCTTGATGCGTATTAGTGTCTGGAGATGGTATCAGATATGTTTTGGTATTTTCGGAAAGTTCCTTTTTCGGAAATCTGAACATACCTCATTCTGGACAGAGAATGTCATGAAAAAACAAAGAGAGGCAGTCTGAAAAAGTTTTCGCATTTTTCGTGTATTTCAAAATAACAACATAAAATACCGACTATTATATCTTTTCTTTAAGCAAATGTTAGAATGATAGTTTTTTTATCAACTGATAGGAAATTTTTCATTTCTTTCAAACTGTATATAACTTGTTTTTTGCCATACATTCATAAAGAAAATGACATGTGAAGAAAGAGATTTGCCGATACATCAAATTTTCGACTTTTAATTGATTTATCAGAGAAAATCTATAAATCAATTGAAATATAATGGTTAGATAACAGTAGATATATGGACAGTTGCTATCAATTAATGAAAGAGAACAAAATATCTTTACTTACTAATGGAATATAGTTCATGACGTCACATTTGGTGAAGATTCTTCCAAACATCTTGAACCATAATCTGTAATGTAGTTTGATTAAGTTGTTTTACACTTTGTTGGATTCTGCAAGCCAATAAATTCAAATGTTTAGCTTCCCAGTTAACATTATTTCATTTGATTTACAGATTTCCTCTGATAAATCAATTAAAAGTCGAAAATTTTATGTATGGGCAAATCTCTTTCTTCACATGTCATTTTGTCTATGAATGTATGACAAAAAACAAGTTATATACAGTTCGAAAGAATGAAAAATTTCCTGTCAACTGATAAGGAAAATTATCATTCTAACATTTGCTTAAAGAAAAGATATAATAGTCGGTATTTTTTGTGTTGTTATTTTGAAATATACAAAAAGTGCAAAAACTTTTTTAGGATGCCTCTCTTTTTTTTTCATGACATTCTGCCTATGAATGTCTGATAAAAATAACTTACATATAGATCGAAATAGGTGAAAATTTTCTATCGATTGATAAAAAGATTTTCCTTCCAGAACCGTGTGTACGAAAAATTGTAAAGATCGACATTTTGTATCATTACTTTTGCATCGTATGTTAATTTGAAATAAATTATTGAATAGAACATTTATTTAATATATGATGTTGATGACGACGTTGATGTCTCATATTATTATTTGTATTGATCCATAAAACTAGTTTTCTTTCTCTTTGAGCAATGTTAGTAAATACTCTCAATTCAAATAAATTCTGTCGAAGTCGACTATGTTGCTTGATCCAAGAATAATTTGGAGCATATTGATCTTGAGCTAAATGTAAAGTGAGTTGTTCAAGATGAATAAGTCCATTTAATAAATAACAGAGTCTTCGTCGTGAATGATAATTTGTTGTTAAATGAGTTAATCTTGGAAAGAGTCGACATATATGATAGAAAAGTTCTTTACTTGTTTCTGGTTCCTAATCAAATAAAATAAGATGTCGAATTGAAAAATATGGTAATAAAAGTTGATTAAATAGATCAAGACTATGTAAATATTGAATATGAATAGAAGAAAGATTAATCATCTTATCAATCAATTGAATAAAAGCTTGATTAGTACCAATAGTTGATGAAAATTCAAAATGTTTAATTATGCTAAGATCAATATTATTTCGAATTGTATCACAAATATCAGTTGTTAAATATCCATTCAATGAAAGTTGTGTCACATGATTGAAACATGGTCGATTTACAGATTGAGACATTAATATTTGTTCAAGTTCATTGTATTTAACTAAATCAATATTTAAAGAATTGATATTTGAATAAAATATTTTAGGATTTTGCATTAAATCAAATGAATATGAATGATGATTATCAAAAGTTTTTGAAGCAAAATAAGGTATAGTAATGAGAGCATTTTGATGAATATCATATTCAACAAACCATTGTTTGTCTTTCAACCACCATTTCGATTGAAATGTATTCAAAATAGAATATATTTCATATTCGGATGTTTGTTGTTCAATAGAAAATTTAAAATTAAATATTTTCAAGAAAATGAGTGATGTTGATAGAAATGATTTCCATTGAATTCCATTCAATACATCACTATTTGTTGGCAATGCTTTATTCAATATTATTGTCAAATATTTTAGCCGACGCATTGTTAATAATATTGCTTCTAATATATCAAATTGAACATTAATTTCGACTGAAAAATAAAAATATAAGATGAAGTTTTTGAAAGAAATAAGACTAAGTGTAATTGAAATTACGTCAAACAAGATCTCAATACAAAAAACGGATCAGTTCGGATAGATAATTATATAACAGGTGGTCGGAAAGTTTTGACTGTTTTTCGCGCATTTAAATGCAATGGGAAGGAGTAAGAAATAGTGAGCTAGAATCAGAATTTGATGCTCTTTCAGGATATCTAATCAGAATTTTCCAATAACTTTGGGCTATTGAGCTAACAGTAAATCTTTAAAAGGCTCAAAAATTCCCAATGGACAGGTAAAATCTTACTTTTGTGAGTAGGGGTGCACCAGTGCCAGTAACTGGGTTCCAGTCCGACTGGATACTTAGTCATTTGACGTTGATTCCGCTAATCAATCAGTACTTCCCTCTTCTCTAAGGGGGTGGGTTTGATGTTGGTATGGGTGTCGTTATTGTCATTCTAACCATTCCCACATCCAAACAACATCCACTCCCATATCCATCCAAACAACACCCACACCTACACTCTGAAGACATGAAATTTATTTATAGTATTCTAAATTATAACGATTGATATATAGATATATATGATTAGCCAATGGATTCAGTGTTATAGTTTATATCAGTACTTCAACAGCCTAAGAATCACTGCATGACAATATACTAAAAAAGAAGAAAGTACTACTCGATTAATGGACTAAAGATCAAAGGACTCAGTACTCAGTCGTGACTGGGACCCAGTTCATCAGTCAGGACTGGGACCCAGTTCACCAGTCAGGACTGGGACTGGTGCATCCCTATTTGTGAGGCTTACCGCCCTTCCTGAAGACATCAAAGAAACTCTTAAAATGCATAGTATTGAAGTCTAATATTTCCTCTACAAGATGGTGTATTTAGGTCGATCCGTTCAAAAATAGGAGACTTATGATAGAGGATCATTTTGCCTGAAAATTCGAAAGTCGAAAAAATTATGATTTTTAGTGTGATAGATTTTTAAAAAGACTTTGTTGCTCTTAAAGCATTTGCAGGAAAGATGATTCAAATATACCATTTTGAAGAAAATTAATTTCTATATCTTTCAGTATGTTCAATAAAATTTTATAAAATGCCTGAAACAAATTTCATTTGTGTTTTTATCGTTCAAAGGAAATTTTTGAGTCTATTAAAGATTTATTTCTAGCTCAATAGCCAAAAGTCGTAGGAAAATTCTGATTCTAGCTCACTACTTCTCACTCCTTCCCATTGCATTTAAATGCGCAAAAACCAGACAGACAAATATTTTGTGTCAAAACTTTCCGACTATCCGTTATGCTTAATGCATATTGAATTCATTTTAGAAAATGAAAAAAGGTTTAAACAAGAAATTGTCAGATCTGACTTCAAAGTAACCATTCTATACGAAGAGAGTTTCGGTCTTGAAACGAGATAATTAAATAAATATCCGGAACTAGAGCGAGCGAAGATTATAGATTTTCATTTCTGATTCAAACATAAAAAATAATTCTTTTATTGAATATCTTTGTTTTGATATTTACTTGATCAGTTTGAGTTCATTCAATTAGAAGAACTAAATCAATTTCAAAAAAATTGACCTATTTTCGTCCAATGACTAGTATCACGGTAACGGATAGTTATGTGCACTAAAATAATCCTATATTCTATGTCTGTGTTAATTACATTAGTTTTTTCATAATACAAATAATTTTATTTTCTTATATTATTTTGATAACTTATTCATTTTTTCTGAATTAAAATAATTGTTATAAGACAAATCAGAATTGAGAGTGAGGATGAAGTGAAATTTTTCATATGACACAAACGTAATAACAGTACATATTTTGTTATAAATACAGTTAAACGAACATACACATATGTCTTACTATTCCATGGGATGAAACTGAATTAATTAAGAACATTCGTGTTCTTCTTCTTCTTGGTCAATAATCATTATTCAAAAAAAAAATGATCGTAATTCGCGACAAACTAGAAACAATGACCGTAACCGAAATAATTGGTCAAGGAAAGCACTAAACATAACTCTCATATGCGGCTTCTTTTTTTCTGAAAAAAAACAAACCGGTACTCTGGAAGTAAGATAAGGATGTTGGGTCAATAATGGATTTTTCATTAGTTTCATTTCGGAAATTTGAATGAGTTTTGATGTGACAAACATTGACTAATGTCACCTATTAGCATATACGAATGACTATTAGTTCGTATATGTCTTAGTTTTTGAAGAGTGATAAGGATAGAGTAGACTTGCGCAGACGAAACCTTCTATATCATTTTAATAGGAACTATTCAAAATAGAAACTATTGATAATAATAGTATTACTCTTCTTTTGAGGAAATATCAACAATTTTCGGATGCCATTTGATTTCTCATTAAAGCTAAGATTAGATTTTATAGAGATTAAAATAATTTTAAAAAAGATTCATGCTCTAAATCTATCAGTGATGATTATTTAAATCAGACTTTTCCAAAACAATGTTTCTTAAATAGTTTTAGGGCAAATGAATATATTTGTTTCGAAATATCGATTTTACAAATGGTATTATTCATCACAAGAGGAATACAATAATAAGATATATTTGAATTTTCGATGTTCATTTTTGTTGAAATTTTTGGAGTATTTTAATAAACAATAAATCTCTCTATAGGAAAAATTTTAGAAGAACTTTCTTTTTCTTTCTGATGCCTTATTACGAACCAAAATAATCATCACTGTGAGGGATCTACAAGAAATGAAATTTATTATCATATTTTTCACTCTTTAGGATGTATTTATGAATGAAAAGAACATTCAGAGCCACATCCACATCCTAAAGAAACTAAACGTACTACATTATTCTGACTGATATAAAAGATGTATGAACATTAAAAAATAGTAAAACGGAATAAATTTGATTTCTCGTGAAATTATAACGATTTCTGATCCTCAAAGATATTCTCTTGTTAATTTGACCGGCAAAGTTTGAATTTTGTCGTAAAGAAAGTCATTTTTTTCAAAGTATCATTATATTTGTGATTTAACTTTCAAATAGAGAAATACATCTATTTTCTTATTTACCATTGAAATTTAGATTAAATTGAATTAATTGAGTCAATTGATAATCACTAAAAAACAACATAAATTGATCGATATTATTTATATCGCATTGAATTCCGACACCCAATGATTTTAGTTGATGCATATTAGGACGAATAAATTGATCCATATCATTAGTTGAATCAAAATACATATGTAAATATATCAAATGAGTTGGTATCTCTTTAGATAATTGACGAAACTCATTGCTCGAAGATACAACAAGGTGTAAAAGAGAATCAAATGAATATCTTGATAATAAAATTATGTTATTAAGATGAATACGATCGAAACGAATTGAAATAAGTTTATTATAATTTATTATTGATGCTAATTTTGATAGAAATAATTGATCAACTATAATTGTATCATCAATCCAAAGTGAACGAAGACGAGTAAATGATTGTTTATTTGAAAAATTTGATAGAAATCGTTTGACTAAATCAAAATTAGTTTTACCAAATTTCAATCCAACAATTTGTTCTGATCGAAGTAATAAACAAACAAGATCTATTTCATTTTTTGATATGTTCGATGAAGATAAATCCAAGAAATAGTTATTATAATTAATAAGAATATTATTTAAATAATCATTTATCGAATAAAATGCTCGTAATATGTGACAACATGAAAGATAACATAGTATTTCATCAAATAACTCGACTGGTAAACGATTCAAAAGTATATTAGACATACTGTTGTTTCCACCTGTACAAGTACACAAAACATCAAAATAAACAAATGAGAAAAATAATATTTTTTAGAGGGAAGAGGAACAGTGAATCACTCATCTTGGTACAAACCAACCTATTTTTAATTTCGTACAATATATATGCATACTTCAATATAAAAATAATAAGGTGATGTAATAAGATTGCATCTTTTCAAAAACCAAATATAATCTTGACAAATAAGGAATTCTTGGATTTCTGATCTTTATATTATCTTACCATATTTTTCTTTTTTAACTAAATATTGTCCTCATCGAAAAGAAATTCAATTCATTACAAATTACTGATCTTATATAACCATTGTTTATCGAAATATATTACAGAATGTAAATAATAATGAAAAAGAAAATCATTTTAGATTTCTAGCGGATGACATATTTTCCAATAAAATATTTTGCTATTCTCAGTTAAACATTTTTTTTTTTTGAGAAATTTTAATACAAAATATAAAGTTCATTATAATCTGTTTAATAGTCTATCTTAAGTATCAACATTAAATTTCTCGATTACAAAATATATAAATATGACCGTTTGTTTTTTTATTATAGAGAAATTATATTTGATTTGATCGTCGTAATTTATTGATAATAATAAATGTTCAAATGATAATCTCTTTTATGTGACGTCTGCACACAATAGCCTTACAATATCTCCATTGATTGACAATTCCAAAGATGAATCGATCACATATATGCATTATTCTATCAGTAGATGTGGAAACATTCTGATCTTTACAAGGATACAAACAAAAGAGAACAATTAGCCAGAAGATAGGATACAAAAAATTAACGATCGTGAAGCCGAATACTAATTGATAGTATTTCTCAGAACAAGGCAATGATACTACGACTGTTGCATTATTTAATATTCTTCTCATTTCGTCTATTTTTACAGCTGCAATTATATAAAGTGATGAAGACCAAAGACACACTGATATGCACATATAGCTTGCGGCTATCCATTTGACATGATCATAGGAAGGTAGCTTTTTGAATATGAATATTATTCTAACGACATAGATTAATATACCCAAAACGAATGGAATATTCATGAATAAGGAAGCACGTATCCAGTTAATATCTGTATTTGGAAGTGGACAATTGTGACAGGCGAGAATAATTTGACATATAGCTAATAGAAGAAAAACAAAGATCAAGTATAATGGAAGCCAATAATGAAGAAATTCAATAAAATATTCACAAACATGATGTAATCGAGTTTTGGGCAAAATTGGATTTATAACAGTATTAATTGGAGAATTGATATTTGGAGGAGATAAAATTCCAATAAAATCTGCATAGGGTGGTTGAGTTGATGATAAAGAAGATATTTCTTCTCTGTAATTTTGCATTTGAGTTGTTAATTTGGTTAATAAAAATGATATTCATTTGATAATTAATGAAAATCATGTACATATATATATGGACTATTTGTTCCAATTATAGGTAAATAAATTGAATCATACATTTCATCATTTTCTTTAATTGATTCTCCATTTATTATTTTTGCGCATATGGGTGACGTCATATTTTTTACTTGGTTTTTGCCATCTAACAGTCGTAAATAATATTTTGTCATATCAACAAAAAAAAATAGAGCTGCAGGAAAACATAACTATTTTTTCGCAACGTTCATTACTATATCTTTTGTATGATTTTTCAAGTATATAGTAATTATTATTGTGCTCAATGTTATGAACAAATGATATTCTTCTCAAACAATGTATAAATTTTCCTGAAAGGATCCAGAAATTTGTGGGCGGACTCAACTTCCTTCCTTCTGTGGCGCCATCACTATCGCTCAGTTAGTTGATTTTAGATTTTCCAAAAAACGCTGTTAAAATCAATTATTATTGATTTTCTTTCATTTATTTTATTTGCTTTGTCTTGTTTTTTTTTTGTTTTATTAAAGTTTAAAAATAATATCGAACAGTATACAAAAGAAAATAGTCTTGTTAATGCATAATTAAAGCTACAATTAGATGCCAAGAACAAGGCAAGTATGCAAGAAAAAAAAAAGAATCAAGAAGAAATACGAGAATCTTATTGACAAGACAATTTTTATCTTATTAACAACAATTCTGTCTATATCAGTCTTGTCAAAAAGTCAAGATCTGGTTTTTTTTTTAAAGAAGAATCTTGACTAACGGTCAAGAGAAGCAACAATCTGATTATGAGATTCAATGAATCTCATGAATTAGTAACAACAGTTCTAGTTGAATAGAGCTATGATAATGAAATTCAAAACATTATTTTTCAATACTATCACAGCAGGTATCTACTTCTTTTGAATAGTTCATCGCAACAGTAGCAGATTTTCAGTCCCAATGAACATCTCTACGATGTATGACGATCGATTGAAACACAAAGCCAATAATATTTTAATCAAATCTTTCATATAACAGATTTAATTATCAATATTGATGAAATTCATGTCATTCATAATAATTATAATCTATATATGTGAAGAAAAAAAAAAGTCTTTTCTATTTTTAAAATCAATCCATGTCGTGAAAATTGCCTCAGTATGAAATCACTAATTGTAATATTGGAAAAATCAGCGGGTTAATCACAATTCATCAATTATTTCATGGTCACAAAAATGCATGAATAATTAGAAATAGGATTTTATTTTATTAAGTAATCTTTTCTCAAAAAGAATGACTGCAAAACTGTTTTTTTTTTAAATCACATAATTTGTGATATCATTGAGAATTTGTACGAAATGTGTATAAGTGGATTCATTTCAATCAATAAAAAACAAAAGAAGACAAGTCTCTATCGTTTTTGCATATGTGATATTATCTCATTTTGCCTGCAAAATATATTCAAAACTGTACAGTATGATGATATATGTACGATAGAATTTTCTTGTCATTAATAAGAAAAGAAAAGAAAATATTTCTTTCAATCTCTACGAATCAATAGAAGTCAACGTACAACTTATAATACAGACTGTGATATTTAAATTTTGTCGTTAGTCAATAAGACTATCGGAAAGTGTTTGAGTAGAATGTATAAATTATGAATCATAAAATGTCATTGATAAGTCTTGATTTTCAGCAAAAATGAAAAAATAAATAAGCAAAAAATCATCGATTTTTAGATGATCTTCATGACATAGAAGTAATTAGTTTAACAAATCTATTGAAAAACAAAACAAATTGTGATTAGTCATATTAAATATGAACAGAATAAACTGAAAATTGAAAGAAAAAAACAAATTCTTTAACGATATATACTAAATCAAACAATTTAACTATAAGATATTTCTTCACATATTGATTTATTTGTAAATGTTCTGTATAAATAAAGTTACTTTCTTTACTCATATAAATATTTCATATATATTGAATTAAAATTTGATTATTTCTTTTAAAAATTTCTATTATTAATAATAAAATCTTTTTTATTTTTATTTATTTATTTTTCTATGAAAATAAACACACAATACAAAGACAAACATTTGATTAAATATTTAAATAAAAAACCAAAAAAAAAAAAAAAAAAAAAAAAAGAAGAAGAAGAAAGAATTTTCTTCTAACCAAGACAATTATAAAGTTTTTCTCGATTTTTTTCAAGTAATTCTAAATATTTTGCATAATTATAATCCCATTGTTGTGTACGATCTTGATATTGACGAAATTCTTGTTTCCATCGTATTTCATCTTCACTAATATTAGCTAAATAAACAAAAAAATGTTTTTTTTTTCTTTATTCAATTTTTAGAAAAAAAAAAACCTCCTATCACATACAATTAGCACTTGTTAATTTAGGTACAAAATCCAACCAAAATGAACAATAATCAGCACGAAGAGCTAAACCATGTTCAGGAGAATGATTTTTACTTAGATCAATACCTAATACAATATGTTCACGAGTTGGCCATTTATAAGGACGCCATTCATTGATCCATTGTGTATCTTGTCCTTGATTTGGATTACTGATTTCGAAACAAAAAAAGGAAAATTTAATTATATTTAATATGAAAGACTATTCAATAAGTTAGTCGTTTCTCTTTCTTTTTCGACAACTACTTTTTTTTGTTTTTTTGATAAATGATTATTTCTTCAAATTATGTGTTTTACAGCTTGCTCATTTATCATCATTCTACAGATGTATATTCATCTGTTGAGAAATAAAGAAACGAATTGGTTAGTATCAAATATATATTTATTTTATTATTGATCTAAAACTATCAATTACCTATATTTAGCAAAATTTGCCCAATAAGCCATCATTTTTTGACTAACGATCACTTCATCATCTGTATAATGAAGATCATCCGTTATATTCAATGGTTCACCAAAAATAAACATTAATTCATCAGCTAAATATAAGCATATATATATATATTTTTGTATTTTGATTATAGATAATTAGATAAAATATTCTTTACCATGAAGTACACCCATCCATTGATGCCAAGGACTTATAGAAGCACGTAAAGTAAAATGATAAAAATATACGGGAGTATTATCTTGAGCATAAATATCAGCAAGAAACACAGTTGGACATGTAAGATGATAATCACCTAAAGAAAAATAAAAATATTCGATAATAATGATTTAATTTTAAAAAAAAAACAAAAAACAAAAATATCTTACCAACAGCTAAACTAAGTTGAATTGCATTTTGTAATGTATTATTATAATCACTCCATATAGTATAAGTTTGTATAATACTTTCTAATAACATTGGTGCTCGTTCAGTTGGATATGTTGGTAGATAACGAAAATATTCTTTAATAGCATGTTTAAATGTTTTATAATCAACATATGGCCATGTATCAATACTCATATTTCCATATGGTACATAAACATTAAAATATGAACCTTCATCTTTATTAACACCTAATAAAATAGGACATCTTTTAAAATCTTTTTTAATTAACATTTGTTCAGGATCATATGGTATAAAATCAGAATCAATTGTTGGTACAAATGTATAACCAATTGGACCACCATTATATGATTCAAGTGCCCATGATGAACGAAAATGATTTTGACTTAATATAGGATAATTTTTAACACATAAAAATTTTTCTTCAATTGTATTTAAACGTTTTTGACATTGTTTTGGTATATATGCATATTCAGTATCATTTGAACCTGATTCATAACGTTCTGTTATATAACGTGTAAAAACATTTAAAAATTTTTCTGAACGATATTTTGCTATTTGTGGAGTTAAAACAGCCCATTTAGCTGTTGGACCTGCACTTTCTAAAATAGCATTATTAAATAATGAACGTGATTTTGGTGATAATAAATGTAAACCAACAGAAACAGCACCAGCTGATTCACCAAATAATGTAATACGTTGTGGATCACCACCAAAATTTTTTATATTTTTATAAATCCATTCTAATGCTAATTGTTGATCAAAAAGACCTTGATTACCTGGAGCATCCGATGTACCCAAATAAAGAAAACCAAGAGATTCAACACGATATTCAATTGATATAACAATTACATTTTGAGTTGATGATAATATTGAACCATCATAGACTCGTAATGTACTCTAAAAACAAAAGAAGAAAAAACAAAATCTTTTTTTGTTTTCAAATCAATTCATTGTTTTTCTTTTCGAATGAACTAACTGATCCTGATACAAAACCTCCTCCATAAAGCCAAACCATAACAGCTAATGATTTTTGTTGTTGTTGATCATTAATTGGTATCCACATATTTAAATATAAACAATCTTCACTTAATGGTGTATATGGAATCCATATTTGTTCACCTGTTGTGTTAAAAAAATCAATTATCATTTGATAACATGAATTAGGTAATTTTGTTGTATTATAAATAACTCCACGTGGCCATGGGCGTTTTGGAATTGGTTTACGAAAACGTTTTTCACCATATGGTGGTTCACCATATGGAATACCAAGAAAAGCATAAACACTTTCAGATGTATTGAATTTTGACGTTGAATTTGATTTATTTATAGAAAAATTTAAACGTGTACCACGTATAAGACCTTGTGTTGTACATCGAACTAATGGATCCGATGAATAAACACATGTTTCACCAAAAATGTTACTATTACAAATATAAATAAGACAAATGAAAATAATTGAATTTAACATGTGAGAAAATTAATTTTTTTAATTAATAATAATTTCATTAATTAACCATTGAATAAGATTAGTAATAATAGATTATCATTATTGACGTTGTTCAACAATGTATATATATATATGTATATATGAAAAGGTCTACTCGTAATGATATCCTCTCTGTCAATATCTATTCTATTCTTTGTATGTTTTTATAGTTGCCAATTGTAGGAATTATGATCAGCAAGAAAAGAAAGAAGAACGATAGGAAAAGGCGGGGAGAAGAGA